AAAAATTGTTGAAAAACATAAGATCCGAAAGAGTTATGCTTTTTGCAACAAATTAATAGTCACATTCAATTTCATGGGTGAGAATGTAGTTCATGGGGTTGCGTATAAATAAATAGGGAAATATATCTTGATGGAGACAGAATTGGAGAATTTAAAGTGACAGATTAAAATCTCCAATTTGGTCCAGTTGCTTGAAACTAAAGTAAGATTGTTAGCCCTCAGGGAAGAAAGAAGTGAGAGCTCTGGAGTGGTAGCCAGTATCCTCTCAACATAACCACGAATTTAAGGACCAAACCCTGGATTAGTCAACGTTCTTTAAGCACTAAGATGGTAAAAAATATGATTGCTCATCTTTGACACAATACAATTTTATATGTATTTTAAATGATTTTAATTACTTCACAATTCATAAACTCATTGTAAAGAGGAAGAATGTTTTTTTAAAATTTGAAATTTTCGTTACAAAACTTTGTTTAGTCTTTATAAGTTTACTTTTAAAGTTTTTTAAAGTTTAGCAAATAGTTTAATTAACTTAATTCTTTTAACTGCATTTCATTTAGCATACAGTAAATTTACTTTAGATTTATTTTGCGTGCTTAAGTTTTGTAGTTTGAATATTATTTTTTTACATTATAACTATCAGAATTTTCAACTCTCTATGGGATCGATACATAGTACTTTATTAGAACCATGTATTACTTGAACGAGACGTATGCTTGCGTTATTATTACAATTTGGCAGTTTAAAGATTTTAAAAAATAAAATTACTTATACTTAATTTATTTTTATTGGGATTGAACTGCATATTTACTATTTATGTTGTCGTGTGTGTGTTATAATATTGCAGTATATTTGCAATGCACCACAAAACCGCGCATCAAACGACGACAACGGTGAATCAGATGGAAGTGATGAAAGACGAGCAGAGCGTGATTGGCAAAGAGATGCAGTGGAGTAATAACCAGGGATCGCCATTGCAAAACCCTAACAGAGCGTGTGTGTGAGCGTCGTTTTCATTAAAAAAAAATCTTATATATATTCTTCAACCACCCACGCTACATAATAGCTTAATAAGAGAGAACAGTCATAATCGATGCTAAAACTAGGAAGGCTAGAGTGATAAATGAATAAATTATAGAAATGGTGTCAGTGCATCTATTAATTATGAAGTAGAGAATATAAATGCAAATTGGATATCTATACTATTAAAAAGATTGAATTACAATCGAACTAGAAAACAAATGATACCCTGCTTTGTTAAAGATTGCACAACAAGAGGCCCGCCTCAATGCTTTTTACAAAAAAATGCAATCAGGCTTACGCCTCATTGTCCCAAGGCCCAAGGTGAGGCACATGCCTCACCCATGCTAAGGCATGTCAAAAAAAAACCTGAAAATTTTTTATGTTATCCGTAATTTTTTAAAACAAATTAAAGTAATATCAATATTTCTCATCCATTAACATTCACACCTAGCACATTAAATAATAAGAAATAGAACAAAAATGTGTCCATAAAAATTGAAGTAGTTGAAATTCTAATTATCAATATTATTATTTTAATTAATATTTTGATTGATAATTATTCATTTAAATGGACTAGGCCTAAAAATAATAAAGAATGAGAGAATATTGATACAACTAAAGATAAGATACAAAATAAATAATTTATTACATTGATGATTCTAATGAAAATTAGGTGATCGGAATAATAGGGGCTTTAAAAATAAAAAATTCAAATGTTGAAGACTTAATATATTTTTCTTTAAGTGGGGGTAGTAGAAGAGAAAAAGATTAATATTGAACTTATACTGATTATTATGTTTTGATGCTTTCGTATTTTAACTTAATATATTAGGTTATTTAATTTTTTTAATATTTGTAAAACTCATCTTATTTCATAATTTGATATTAGGATATTAACGTGTTACTTCAAATTTTTCGCAATTAATTACATTTGATTTATACTCTTGTTATATTACAATTTAATTTGTAATAAATTAAAAATATTAATATATTATTTTTTACCTTAGACTTTATAGTTTATATAATAATTATTAATTTATACAATTTTTTTTTTTAAAATTTGAGGCTTACGGCTCAAAACACCTAAGGCGTACGTCTCAACACATGAACGAAAAAAAATCCTTAATACCCATTATACAATATTAAACATGGAATTTTCCAACATTGAATTACCCTAAAAATAGCTTGAAGAACTGAACAAAAAAGAATGAAGAGGAATTCCCACCTATAAACGTGGGAAGTTAATTTAGTGTCGGGAAAAATACAAAATTTTAGGTTAGCCAAGGGGTCAATTAGTAGCATAAAACACTTATATAATTAAAAAAGGTTAGAGTACCAACTAGGATAAAAATTAAGTAAAAAAAATGGAGTAAGATGATTTCAACATACATAATGAAGAAAGCAGCAATCAAAGTAATGATATTGAAAGGTGTTTTCAAAAAGGCTCAAAAGGAAAAGTAAATAGAAGTAAATAGGGTCTCTACAGTACTAAAAAACACAACTAAAGAACAACAACACATGTAGTGATAAATTGACACAAAAGACAAATAGATTGAAAAAGTTCTTCAAAAATAACAGTGGTATGGTGATGAAGTTGCCAATGGTTTTGAACATGTTTATCATCATCACATGCACATGTATTAGAGCATTATTAGACGATTGTCCCAATCCTTGGCATCGATAGGTTCAGACTATGCTTGCTAGATTTCCTCATGCTCACTAATAATTGGCACTTCCTACTCAAAGCTTAGGTGCTTCTATGTTCGCTCAGTCTTCTTTGGCACATTGACGTAGCAACATCTCGCATTATAGCCTACTAATGGGGTTTATGTCGATAGTGGTAACTATATCTGGATCACACTCTAATCTTTCATGCATTTGCGATTATGACATTAGCATGTGTGCCATCACCAAGCGGTGCACTTGCATCCTTAACATCATCAACATACACAGCAACCCTTTGTTGGCTAGTTCTAGCTCATTATATTTCAATCTTTGCTCAATGTCTAGTTGTCGTCATGCATTCTCACTTTTCACGAAGTTGTTTTCATTTATGACTTCTAAGCCATCTTCTTCGATGCATGCTTTTCTAACCATCTGACTAGGCAAGGATACTCGCTTACGAGGCCTAAAAATTATGCTATGATTACTCTTGTTATCTGACAAACTAAGGTTGCTATTTCTCCTTTCATTGGCATCCGTCAATCTTACACTACAATCATTGAGGGGTTGATGGCTCAAATACTTTTAGAGGGCTCTACTACGCAATTTCCATCATTTTTCACAGAGAATCAAAACCTCAACAACAAAACAAATCTCCACATTTCAAAGAAAGTAGCTTTTAATTTAACTAAATATGAGATTTCTAAGCTTGCAACTCCATTCTCCTTCTCTATAGTGGGCAAATTATCTATAAGGTGTCTCAGTCTTGAGATTATTTGCAAAATTATGTCAGGTTTACAATTGATTGGAGCTTATTCTTTAAGGCTACTAAATCTTCGTGAGATTATTATCAAATTATTGGTGGAAGTATATTACTTTGGAATTTTCTCAAGCTGATGTGCATATGTTGACTTCCAAAGTGTATGTTAAAGTGATCCTCACACTTTCATTCATCCATGGAACCACCTACCACTCTGAGCTCGACTTCATTTCCACAATTTCACGTTCACTATTTGAATCAGCCAAAATTATATTATGAGTTCAACCTTTCAAAAACTCTTACATGTTGATGCTACAACCATTTGTCTTTGCGAACATTCCGTGTCAATGATTCTGATGGAAATCCACGTTACAATGACTTTATAAGGAAGCTTTGAATTGGCTCCTCTTCTTGTGCTTATTGGTAGCAACCAACAAGTTATTCTATTGTATTGCACCTCCTGAAAAATATTTTACTAGAAATATTCTGATCGCTAATAAGGTCAATCAAAATTGAAAAAATCACCTGATATTAATCATAACTGTCAGGAAAAATGACAGCATGCAAATGACAAAATTTATTTTCATTGGTGGTGGATGCAAATCATCATTCATTAGTTCAAGAATGAGCACACAATTAGGACCAAATTCCAGAAAGTAACATGGAATAAGAGTCTTTAGAGTCATCCCCTTACTGACTATGCATAAAGAAGGATATCAGAATCACATTGGCATTCAAAAACATTAGTACAGTTTCTTTAGAAAAGTTAGCATCTAATTCCCTTTTTATCATTTAGGGTGTCGATGCCACAAACTCTGAACGATTTTCTAATATAGAGATTTCATATTCTGCTCTCCAACACAGGAAGAAATACAAGGAAAAAGAATATATTGGCATTCTCCAATATTCACAAGATTACGAGCTAAAGGCCATAAATAAGATAGTTTTCAAAGATATCTTCACCGAAAAGATGAATATCAGTCTTTATGAATATCGTTGTCTTCATTATGTCGTCTTAAATTGTGATTTTTTTTTCAAATTTTAATCTAGCAATTTCTTCCGATTGCCTAGCACAAACCAAGCTCGAATTGAAGTTAAATGTTCATGTCCACCTCGAATCAAGATGAAATTGAACCAACTTGAAACCAAATTTGGGCCACATTAGATCTAATGACTTCTATCTGATCTTGAGCCTGAGCTGAATCTGCTTGAGATCAAATCATTGATACCCTACACCATGAAGATAAAGCATGGAACTAAACTCTCAAGTATAAACTAAAGATCAAGCATTGTAGCTAAAGCGTTCTAAAATGTTAGATTTAATACTTAGTAGCCTGGCAATCAAAATAAGGAATTTGGCATAAAAACTAAAGGAAAGAATTGAAAACAGAATACACAAAAAACAATAAATATGATTAAAAATAAGAACCACTCCACACAATGAGCAAATGAACTCCGCACATAAATGTTATTTCCAATTCAGGAGTATTAGACGGAAATACATCTCAATAACAACAATTAGAAGTAGAAAAAAATTTTAAGATAGTTGAGATACCTTTTTTATACCTCCAATCCAAATGAGCACAGTACCAACCATTGTCAAGTGCCTATGAAAAGTAAAGGAAAAGTAGTAAATTACCAAAGAAAAGCTGACACAACATGAGCTGCATGGATAATTTTTACAATTTTGATCAATAATCAGATGAAACAAATAATTACATTGTAAACTTAGGAGAAGTAAATAAGAATGAGGTAGTAAATGTGAACTTCCAATCCTTCTAGCACCTAATAATTCAAATCCACTTACAGAAGCCTGAAATAAAATATTAAGGGTGATAAAAAAAAAAACTAGAGTTCCGCATAAGTCTATAAACTGGATATTGGACCTTTACTAAAAGGAACTCTATGCACAATCTACACAAACATACAATCCCTTTATGAATTCCAGGCATTAGTAAACAAAGAGATGTTTATTAGTTGCTAGGCTTTGGGTCTTTCTACCAATGAAGTCCAACTTATCCCCAGTCACCATATGATTTCAGAACTGTATGCATGATAGAACACCAACCATTAAGCTCTTGGATAGACAAAATTACCTCGTTCATAACAGGAAGCTTTGGACCAAATTAACCAGTCAAAACTAAATTAAAATAATAGCTAGGCTATCAAAAACTAAATGAGGTCAATCCAGCTTAACATTGCACGTCATAAAATATAATAACTCGTGATATTATTTTTAAAATTACACACACACACACACACAATTAAGCATGCAAAGTTGATAGGCCCCAAAAATTAAAGAACTCTAAAAGCCTAAGCCCCAACAAGTGGCCAAATCGACAAGGCTTATGCTATGATAATTTTGCCCCTTTGGTGGGCATAATTGCCACAAATCATTATGTGATAGGTTCCAACAAAGCTATGCTTCCCATAACAAGCCAAGCAACATATCTTAGTTCTGTCCGTTTGATGAGCCTAATTATTGCAAAAATATAATCAGAGGTGATTCTCATCATAGAAATTCCAACTTAAAAGTTTGAAGTACATTTTCAACTAGCAAGAATTGAATCCAAGCCAAAAAAGGAAAAAAAAAAAAAAGATAGTCAGAGCTTATAGTAGATTATGATTTTCATATACAGTATTACTTTGAAAAAAATGACATGATAGCTGATGCATTGGAGTGGAAATTTAACTTATATTAAGAAACCAGAAAAATATTGAACTTTCATATTAAAGAACATGGTCAGAAATGAAGGCAAACTAAGAAAAAAAGCATAGAGCTGAGAGGGAGAAAAAAAAAGATGAGGAAAGCTACTTGTTGAAGGTCCATTGTCACTTTTTGGTGAACGACAATGCAATGAGTTGGTAGGCATTAAGGCTTGTGTGAGTTGCAGTTGTTTTTAAATTAAATTTGAGCTGGTGAGTTAAAACATGGTTACAATACCAAACATTCATAATTCCTAAAATGTATTTAAAGGATCAATATTTTATAATTATTAATTTGAGGAAAATTTTTCAATTGATGATCTCCAGTTGATGTATGATATTCAATATCTAATTCAAACAGGAAGGTATGCTTTCGTCTTTTACAAGCAAATTTTAAAAGTAATGTAAACTTGTTTGTAAGCAATTTATTAGAAAATTTTTCAGATTAAAAAGTAAAAGTTTGTGTCAATCTATTATGATTAAATAATAAATAAAAAATTATAAATTATGGAAAACACATGTTTGAAGTCTTATAAGCATACTAAAATTGTATTAAAATATTACACTTCAAAAGAAGAAAGTTTTATATTGATGAGTTACATATTGATGCAAAATGTTGAATAGCATATTCATTATGAATGAAATAAGTATTTAAATGTTTTATGATATTAAATGTAATTAGCATAGAAAAACGTCATATTATGGGGGATAGGTCAACAATATTATGCTATTTAAGTAGAACAACAAGCTAACAAAGTGAGCTCCAATGAGGAAAAATATCCTCAACCTCTCAATACTGATTTAAGAAATAATTCAAAAGCAAAGATGTAAGATTACACCTGGGGCTCTATTGAGCTTCATATCAAAATATGTGATATAAATCCAATAAAATTTACTCTCTTATGATGGTCAATGAACTCAGAGAATTATAATTGACATATTCTAAGGTTATGATATGCTATGATGTAGATGAAATTAAAAAATAAACATTAAATTGTGATTAATATGTTTTATAATTATTATTACAGTTAATTAATAGAGTGTATATGATGATTGCCCACTAGGAACTTTTTGCTATGATAACTCCATTATAACTATCTCACTATTATGCTAATCATCATTTAAGCATTTATTTCAAAATGATTATATACAATGCACCAAATTAGTCTATGATCAAGTTTTTAATCATACCCAGACAGTAGTTTATGATCAAACATCATAGCTCACTAGATTAATGATTTGCCTATGAAAGGATAAGATTGAGCCTATCTAAGAATCAAATTTTGAATGAGTCTAACAAAGAATCAAATGTTGAATTTACAACTCTATATCTTGATGCTGAGTTCTTGAGAAAGAAATAAAGCATGTTAAGTCAATGTATATGATGAAAGATTGATGTTACAAATGTTAGCACTAATATTTACTAAAAAGCTTGTAGTAGAATGAATGAAATATGTTGGGGGCCTCTATAACAGCTTATGTGAATAAAATGATGTCATCTCATTGGATTTATGTGAGTTTTAAATTATGTAATGTGTTTCAATTCGAGTTGTTCAAGTAATTCAATTTATCACCCAATATATTTTGATGGGATGAGTTTAGAAATGAATGTTGGCTGAGTTATTCTGCCTCTATTACATCTTATGCACAGCAAGGTGGTATCATTGTGAGGTGTGATATCATTAGTATAGATTATATCCTTCCATTTTGCAATTGCTTCTAAAGCATTGTAGAGCTTACATACCAGCACAAATTAAAGGTTCTCACTCAACATCGAGAGGAGTAACCAATCATAAGGGTTTTCATTCATAAACCAAATTATAAAATCGTCTATGAGGGAGAAATCTTTGAGTAGTTCATTTTCTAATATCAAATCTGCCTTTTGAGAAGAAATTTGAAGACCAGCAAAGTAGGGTGGGGATTTCGATTTCCATAGGACAAAATGTCACAAAAAAAAAAAAAGAATATGAAGTTGCAAGAAGATTTAGGCCCAAATTTGCTAAGTTCAACAAAAGGAAGGACTTAAAACGTACAAAATAACAGTTGAACAATTTGACTTGACTTTACAAGGTATCAGCTTCAATCACCCATGGTAATGTGATCGTACAAACAGAAGAGACTCTAAAAAAACAAGGAGTTTCCTAATAAGCACTGAAATTTATCAAATCAATAATCAAATGTAGAAACAGTATATAACAAACATCAAACAATACGCAGATAAACAATTTGTGTAAAGCTCTGAATATAGGGAATATAAGTTGCTTAATGGACAGTTTAAAACATGCATAAAAAATTGTTGTCATGGCAAAATATAGGAGGCAGATCATATCATAATTACTAAGAAATAGAAAAGAAAACAAACATCAGTACCCCTGACAACGGTACCATCCAACCATTTTCTTGGGACCAATGAAGAGATGGGCGCAAATCTTTGCAAAGTGCTTCATAAGAACTTCCTTGTCCAATGGGAGGATCTGGTAATTTAATCTGAACAAAGCAGAAAAGGATATCAAATTTTAGAATAATAAGCTTGAAAAGCTAATGTTTAAAGAGTGAAAACTTATTAATTCATAATATATATTACCAAATGTTAAATAAATAAAAAAACGTCAGGATCTTCCAACTCACCCAACTCTTTCACAAGTGGAACGGAAACTTTATATCACCATAATTAATAAAATCAAACATACGCATTTTAAATTATCTAAATGCATATTATTAAGTTACAATGAGATTGAAAGTTCCCTCAAAAAATCCCAAACAATAAAGATCGCCATTTGGGCTTCTCTTATATTTTTAATATCAATTTTCTTTTAGAAAAGAAATAAATTTCTTTGTTTAAAATCTAAAATAATAAAAAAGACCAAATTGCATTCATCTTAACAAATTACTATCTAACATAGTATGCCATATGCTCCAATAATTAATTTAATTTAACCTAAATTACTATTTAAATTTAATTCCAAAAAACTTTTAGTTTCTACTAATTATAAAATGTAGATAAATTTCAAATACAACTTCAAATATTTAAGGAGAATAGAAAGAGAATATCTGTAAACTTTAAAGCCAGACATACGATGATAGCTCAATTTCAAAATATGATTTTCTTGATTATAATATAATCTATATGCTAAATTAATTTTTCTTTGTTTATTCCTCAGTATACATAAAAAATAAGGTGAAAATATTTTTTCTTCCGATTTTTGCAAGTTTAAAACTGATCTTAAATAAAAGCTTCAACAAATTTATATTTATAGAAAATTTTAATAAGTTTCAATTTATCATTTCTGTATAATTAAATAATATTTTATTAATTTATCCTTCAAAATTAGACTCAAAGATTCAAGATCGTTTGAAAATCAAGTCAATATTTAATACAAATCAAACTTAAATTGAAATCGATGAAAAAACTAACAAGCTAAATTGTAACGCCCGAATTTCGAGAAACCCGGTAAATTTAGCACATTTGAAAAATAGCTCAAATTTTGCATCTTCCAGAATTCGATCAAAATAAATTTATAAAATTCTATGTATGAAATCGATTAATTCCATATAAAGCACCAAGTATGAACTATGAATGGTTTGGGAGATTTAAAAAATGAAAGTTATAAGTATAATTAAATTAATTAAACCTAATTTTTTTCTAAAATCTCATACCCTTACTATTCTCAAACGACCTTCACTCCTTATAGTACTTGTTTTCGGTCGATTAGGGTCTCCAGGGCTCCGATTTCCTTCCCTCTCTCCTAAATTTTTGCTCCCTCACTTGGTTTCCCTCACGTGATAGACACTTAAAGATATTTCATTCTTCTAAGCCACATGCTTTCAACGGTGTTAGTGACCCTATTGTTGCTAAAGATTGGCTTCTGAAGATTGAAAAAATTTTGGATGTTACGTATTATCTGGAAAAAAAAAAGTAATTATTGCCACTTTCATGTTAGAAAGCGAGGCAGAAAGATGGTGGCAGGCAAAACACAAAGAAAAGTTACAGCTGACACATCTTCCACAAATTCAGTGGGATGACTTTGTCAAGATCTTCAAAGATTGGTTCATTCCACCTTCAGTTAGATTAATATTGCAATGCAAGTTCTTCAATCTAATTCAGAGGTCCAAGACAAATATACAATATGAGGCAGAATTCACATATCTTTCAAGATACGCACCTCACTATATTAGCACCCAAGAGAAAGAGCGTCATAGATTTCTACGAGGTCTCAAATATCAGTTGAGGCTAGCATTTCTCCATTTGAAATAAGTGATTTCTCAATACTTGTTGAAAGGACAAGTAAAATCGAAAATGAGCTAAACATTTTCAGACAGTAGTGGCAATTTAGGGTAATTAAACGAAAGGGTTTTGGCAAGGAAAACTACTCTCAAAGCAAGAAAATTAAATCAGAAGGTAAACAGATGCAGCCCATTCATAAAACCCAGATTGTGAAAATGTGAAAAAAGACATTTTGGGCAGTATTTGATTGGTTCAAAAAAAATGTTACAATTGTGAATAGTCAGGGCATATTCAATTTGTCACGACTCGACTCGATTCTTAAAATTAACTAAGGTAAGTACTATAGTGAGACAGTATTAACATCTAACTAATTATCCAAAAAATGTTTCAGCAACTTCCAATATATAAAATATTCGCAATCCACATAATGTAATAAATTTAAATCATCCAATAACAACATCCACAGACAACATTTTAATCTAGAACTGAACAGTAAATCAAAACCTGACAGGAGCACAGAACACTATCATAAAAAAAATACCTAGCAACAGTGATCATTCTCCGATAGAGCAAGTCTCTCCTATTAAGCATATCAATCTAAAACTTTTCTTCTTGAAAAAAAAAATTTAATTTCAACTGTAAGTATAACTTAGTGAGTAATTGTAATATAATACGTATTAAATTTATATATTATGCTATGCATGAATGACCAGAAAAAAATACAGTTAGTTTCATTAAAATTTTAAATTTATCTCATCATTTCACTTTAAGTATTTACTGTTTCTAATCTCTTTAATAGGCATCACAAAATTATTGTCATACCCGAAAGTATCCTAAAAAATATGTTCGAAGACACCTCAAAATGTGTCCGAAGACACTCTAAAAAATGTACCTAAAGGTACATTTTTATAATTTCATTTAACGTGCACAAGTACATTGTATCCCCTGTCAGTATCATCTGGTGGTAATCCTGTATGGCTTAAACATTTAACTTTCATTTCATTTAAATTACATCCTTTCAAAGACATTAAGCATTCTTTTTCCTTTTCCCCTTTCTTTTCCTTTCAATCTTAAGCTACAATATGCATACAAATATAATTGTCAAAGGCATTAAAGAAATTCTTTATTAAATAAATTTTAAATTTAATATAGATAAGAAAATAATTATTCACTTGCATAGCTTGCTTGCCACACCAACTCCCAAACCCTTGATTTTCTAGGCTTAAACGTGCTTCAACATAAATTATAATTAAAGATTAATATTTTATTAATATCAATTCAAAATTAAGTAAACTAAAATTTAATTTAAGACATCTTTTCATTTAAAATTATAAGTTTTCTAACTCAAATTCAAGGGATTAACAGACTTTCTTCCTCACTTTCTAATAGTAATAAAGTTCTATAACATTAATTAATTAACGTAGCTAATTACGTCATTAATTTCATTAATGACATAATGTTTAACATGTACCTTAAAAGTTTCAGGTCAATCTCCTCCCTTTTTCGCTCCCTTCACAACTAGTTTCCTTTCAAAGTGAAAATCTCTATATTAAAGCCTTGATTAAATTGACACATAAAAATTAGCATACTATTCTTACCTTAATATAAGGCTCAATTCCACTCTTCTAGTACAGCTTGACCTCTCCTCTCGCTTTCTAATATTAAAATTATAAGTTTTCTTACTCAAATTCAAGGGATTAACAGACTTTCTTCTTCACTTTCTAATATTAATGATGTTCTATAACATTAATCAATTAGCGTAGCTAATTACGTCATTAATTTCATTAATAACACAAGGTTTAACATGTACCTAAAAAGTTTCATGTCAATCTCCTCCCTTTTTTGCTCCCTTCACAACTAGTTTCCTTTCAAAGCCAAAATCTCTATATTAAAGTCTTGATTAAATTGACACATAAAAATTAGCATAATATTCTTACCTTAATATAAGGCTCAATTCCACTCTTCTAGTACAGCTTGACCTCTCCTCTCGCATCACAACTTTTCTAATTAAAAATATTTAATAAAATTTACCTGTTTAGGCTGAGTCGACAATCCTAACTCACACACTCGAGCTTCGGCGTCGTTCCTCTTCTTAGATCTCGGTTTCACAAGGCTTCCTTCCTCTACTATGCGAGCACAGCGCCGAAGGTTTCACCTCCTCCCTCCTCAAATTCGACTCAAACCAAAACATACGTTGCCACCATCTATGCCTTCCTTCTTTCAGCTAGACGCAAACAACATCCACAGGCTTGATCTTCCTCCTCTTCCTCTGCACGAGCACACAATGTCGATGTCTCCTCCACTCCTGAGCACTCCTACGCACAGCACTAGTGAAGAAGTTGTAGCGCTTCTTCTAGAGACTTCTTTCTTCTACTAGGGCACGGTAGGTTTCTCCTCTCGATCTCTCCCATTCTCACTCAATATGTTTGATTCGATCAAAAGAGTTGTGACTGTTATGTTATAACTGAAGGGATGTGTCGATTAGGGTTATTATTATTATTATTATTATTATTACAATCTTCCCTCCTTGAAAGAATTTCGTCCTCGAAATTTGAAAATAAAAATGAAAGTGAATATACCTTAATCGAAAAACTGTGGATATATTTCTTGTATCTCAGAGACATTCTCTCAAGTAGCATCATTTTCTAATCCATGTTTCCATAAAATCTTCATAAAAGGAATTTCTCTGTTATGTAGCTTTTTGACCTGATAATCCAATATCCTTTCAGGCTCCTCAATATACGTCAGATCAGGCTGAATATCAACTGAGTCTGCAATCACCCTCCTGGTTTCATCTATAATATACTTTCTCAATGAATGAATATGGAAAACAATATGCACTTCCTGCATATGAGCTAGTAAAGCCAATATGTAAGCTATCTTCTCTACCATTTCTACAATCTCAAATGGACCAACATATCTGGGGCTCAATTTTCTTGTCTTCCCAAAACATTGCACACCCTTCAATGGTCTGGCCTTCACGAAAAAAACTCTCCAAATTCAAAATCAACAGGTCTATGTTTGGCAACATAGTACTTCCTTCGTCTCTCTTGTACTGCCTCCACACTGTCTCAAATCGGTCTAATTTTTCTTTGTAGCATCATGAGACAAATCAACGCCAATGATCTTTCTTTCACCTGTTTTAGCCCATCATAAAGGTGTAATGCAATTCCTTCCATATAAGGCATCATATGGAGTCATCTCAATACTAGTCGGGTAACTGTTATTATAAGCAAACACTACGAAAGGTATATGTGATTCCCAATTTCCACCAAATTCAAGGACACATAACCTTAGTAGATCCTCCAAGATCTTCCTTGGATAGTCCTCTCTGACTAACCATCTGTTTGAGGGTGAAATATTGTATTGAAAGTCAATCAAGTACCCAAAGCTTCCTAAACTTTCTTCCATAATTTGGAAGTAAACTTGTCCTCTCTGTCAGAGACAATAGACTTCAACTGAGTCTGACAATCCAATATCCATAAAATCTTCACAAAAGGGATTTCTCTGTTACGTAGCTTTTTGACCTGATAATCCAATATCCTTTCAGGCTCCTCAATATACGTCAGATCAGGCTGAATATCAACTGAGTCTGCTATCACCCTCCTGGCTTCATCTATAATATACTTTCTCAATGAAGAAATATGGAAAACAATATGCACTCCCTGCATATGAGCTGGTATAGCCAATATGTAAGCAATCTTACCGACCATTTCTACAATCTCAAATGGACCAACCTTACCAACCATTTCTATAATCTCAAATGGACCAACATATCTGGGGCTCAATTTTCCTGTCTTCCCAAAACATTGCACACCCTTCAATGGTTTGGCCTTCACGAAAAAAAACTCTCCAACTTCAAAATCAACAAGTCTATGTTTGTCATCATAGTACTTCCTTTGTCTGTCTTGTACTGCCTCCACCCTTTCTCAAATCAATCTAATTTTTCTCTGTAGCATCATGAGACAGATCAACTCCAATGATCTTTCTTTCACCTGTTTTAGCCCATCATAAAGGTGTCATGCACTTCCTTCCATATAAGGCATCATATGGAGTCATCCCAATACCAGTCGGGTAATTTTTATTATAAGCAAACTCTACTAAAGGTATATGTGATTCCCAATTTCCACCAAAGTCAAGGACACATAATCTTAGTAGATCCTCCAAGATCTTCCGTGGATAGTCCTCTTTGACTGACCATGAGGGTGAAATGTTGTACTAAAGTCAATCGAGTACCAAAAGCTTCCTGAACTTTCTTCCATAATCTGGAAATAAACCTGTCATCTCTGTCAGAGACAATAGACTTCAGCACTCCATGCAACCTCAAAATTTAATCAACATATAATTTGACTAGTTTCTCAATTGAATTTGTCTGTCTACTAGGTTTGAAATGGGCAGGCTTAGTAGATCGATAATCACCCATATGGCATCACGACCATGACGAGATCTAAGCAAACCAATCACAAAATCCATGACAATCTCCTCTCATTTCCAATATGGAATCAGTAAAAGTTGCAACTGACCTTCAAGAATGCTGGTCCGAAACAGCAGAATGGAGGTCTGACGTCACAATCCCAAAACGATGATAAATGCCATTATGATAGAAGCATTTCTAGAGAAGCCAAACAGTCAAATGAAAGGCGGGCATTCTCTGCAACGGAAAGGAGAAGCACCACTCTCTCAAACAAAAGCCTTAAATGTCCCACTAATCCATGCAAAAGTAAGCAATTTGAACTTTAAGTTGAAAATAAACAAAGAAAACACTTCTCAGCAAAGACACCATCATTATGTGCAAAAGAAGAGAGATTGTCATACACAAATCAATTAACAATTTGATATAATAAAAATATCCACAAGTTCTTCTACAACATTGCAAGATAACTCACAATTTTCAAAGAAAAACAAATAAAAAAGGGATTTATGGCTAACCAATTTGAAATATAAAAGAATAGACCATCACCTAATATAAATATTAGGAAACAAAAAACATATCCATAACTATTAGTAGCATGTAGCAAACATCTTAACAAAATAAAAAAAAATCAAAAAATACGTTAAGTACTCTACTATAAATTTTTTTAGAATAAGTATACGGAAAAAAAAGGAAAATTGCTACCAGATAGCATCTTTGAAGAAACAAATTACGAATGAATACAACTCACCAACAATAGTTGAGAAAAAAAGAAAAATGTAATGAAACAGAAATTCGTTACTTGGCAATCATTCTGCCCTTTAAGTAACATGCTAGGACAGGTAAGTACAAATTGAGAGGCATTCTAAGAAAATAGAAAGCCTTTAAATCACTAAAAAAAATATGGACGTAAGAGAAAAACAAAAAAAGTTGTCAAAATAATACCTGAACTTTATCGCTCCCTAAAATTTGTGTTATTCTACCAGACCAAAAACAACCATCACACCACCAATCAACCAAATCCCCAACTTTCCATGAATCATTAACAATGACTATCACATCAGATTCTGGAAGGACATCTGGTAATTCACTCTCACGATAAAAAGGTGGGTAACGTGGGCGAACCATTATTTCATATTTATTATGTAGACCAAATCCTTGGTTTGCATAGGGAGGCTTTTGATACAGTTTTAACCATCTTTTTTCTGCATTCAGACACAAATAAATAATCATAAGAAAGGGATTAACCGCAATGACCAAGTAGATATAAAAAGGCAAGATGTTGAATAACAGAAAAGATCTAGAACAAGAAAATTGGCAAAAAGCATGTCAAATACATGAAGTTTGCGACATGTTTCAAGCCAAAATTGATCATAAACAGCAGAGTTTGTATCATACAATGTGCTAGAAAATGGCAAAGAGAGACTAGAAATGAAGAAAAAATGACTTAACAAAAAAAATAAAAATTCAAAACTGTCAATTCATATTTTTAAATCCTCATCACCCAACTTAGGCCTGGTCCTCATACAGATTACCATAAAATATTTTAATATTACCATATTTTACTGATAAAATATCCATGGAAAGGTATGAATATATATATATGCTAGAAATATATATATATATATATATGTATGTATGTATGTATGTATGTATATTTCACGATGTCGACAGCGGTCGAGAGCTCAAGCTCTGCAAGGGTTTACAATAGAAATTTCCTTCGCATTTGATTCTACCGCTTGAAGGAGAGGGGCTCGAAACTCATTTCGTCGACTCTTGCTCCCGTCTGCGTCGGCATTATCGGTCGCAGATTCAGCGTCGGCGTGCCGTCGGCGTGCGTCGGGCGCCTGCGTCGTTTCGACGCTGCAATCCCTGCTTCTGCGTCTGACGTTTCTTTTCTTCTGTTTCGACCTTCTGCTTCGACGTTTCTTCATTTTGATTGTTTGCGTCTGTGCTTCTCTCCAGCCTGACACCGTGGCCCGATACCGTGTTTCCCTACACAGTGTCGTTTTGTCTGCTTCTCGTTGCAGGTGATCGCCAGCACCTCTTCTTGCTCTAATGGCTCTTCCTTGTTCTTTGTCTGAACCGGAAAATGCCACATTTGCCCACATAGTGGATAACCCTCAGGTGGAGTCCGCGGTGGTATTCCCCTTAAGCTACAAGGATTTTTACTATGGTACAGATGATTGTCCTTTTGTTAAGAAGGGAAGTATGAAAGATCAAAAACCAACAATTTTTTTTCTGACTCAGAAATTTCTACCCTGAATAAAAAATTCAAGCTTGCTCTTATTGAAAAAATTCAGTGGGGGCAAACGCCTATGGATGTTATAAGAAAGAATGTTGAATATCTTAAGCTAGTAGACAAGTGAAAAATGGGACTCATGGATGGGAGACATGTGTTGACTCAATTAACAACGGCTGAAGACTAAACCTGAATTTCCTCCAAGAAATATCTTAATATTGCGGGCAAATCAATGAAGTTACTCAAGTGATCTCCTGATTTTGACTCAAATCATGAAACTCTCACTGTAATAGTATGGTTTAGTCTACTTAGTTTCAAGTTGCAATTTTTTCACCATCAGGTTATCTACTCTATTGGGGTCATCCTTGGGGATCCTTTGAAATTAGATCTGTATACTTTCAACCTAACCAGACCTTCAGTGGTCAGAACAGTTTTGGAAAGAGATATTACTTTACCTGATGTTACTGAAGTCTCGCTGGGCACAACCCATAATGGATATTGGCAACAAATCGTCATGGAACACAAACCCTCATATTGTACCCACTATAAGATGTTTGGGCATATCCTTCATAAATCTCACAAGTTTCATCCTGATTTGAAAGCTAAGATTCAAATGAATAAGAATGGGCCTAACCCAACCACTCCGGACATTTTAGCTCCACCTGGGGAGAATATTGTTGCCCCTGTGCCACCCTGACATTGTTGTTACTGTTACTGCAAATGATGTGATGCTGACACCTTCAAACCACATAGAAAAAAATATTGATGGACTATTACCTATAAAGAACGGTGTTCAAATTGATAATCAGAAGAACCTCGCAGCTCCCCCTCTTCAAGAAGTATCCGGTATAGAGGCAACCCATAATTCACAGATATTAGAACCTATTGTGGGTACTACGGTTGGTAATCCTTCTACTTCAGCTCTACCACATCATCATACTGATTTTTCGGATGAAAAATGGCATGTTTACACTTTTAGGAGAAAGAAGAAGAATGAAGATTTATTTAAGCTCAAGAATCTTATGAATGATACTTTGGTAACGTCGGGTAATGTTACGCATCTTACCAATCTGCTAGCTGGATCCCTTCCGAGAACTAGAGCCAGAGGCAGAGCAAGATTGGGATGACCCTCATTATTTTCAGCGCCCGGGTGGTTTAGGGCTTTTTTATATTAATATGTACCCCTTTTTAACTTTTTAGAGTGTGTTGTATCGTGTGGGTTGGGTGACTATTTTTAGACCCACCCATACAGCCTATCTGTATCTTTTTTCTTTAATATATTAGCCTTGGACTTTAATATATATATATATATATATATATATATAAATATATATAACAGTCATTAGCGCCCTCTGCGTCGTCCACTGACGCTCGCTCGCTCGCTCCCCTACGCTCGTCTTCTCTGCGACGTTCCTTCGCGCCAGCAACACAGGGCTTGTCTGTGACGATCGATAGAAACTGCGGCGAGCCGATCGACTGCGTCTGTGTCGATCGATAGAAATGGCATCAGGGCGTTCCTCCTACGCCGCTGCCCTCGCCAGTGATAACCCCGTCTCCGGCCCTCTTTCCAATATGTTTCTGCAACAATACCATGACAATTTTGTTCTTGGCATTGAAACTGAATTTCTCAAAAAAGCTTCCCGTAAAAACGGCAAACCTGCAATCTTTCTCACTGAGGCAGAAATCTCCACCCTAGTCGCACCCTGCCGACTGTTCTTAATAGGTAAGTTTCTTTATGGAAACCCTAAACTTGAATTAATTCGAAAGGATTTTGAGCAAATGAAGCTGAAAGGGGGAATGGTCGGCACACTCTCATCCAATTATCAAATGATGAAGACTACGCCCATTTGTTTGCAAGAAGACTCCTTTGAATAGACAACCAGGTTATGAAGGTTTTAAAATGGATTGTGGATTTTGACCCTCGCACTGAACCTCCTATCATTCCTGTTTGGCTGCGCTTCCAAGGTTCACCTTTTTGATCAAGAGCTTCTCTTCGCTTTAGCGATGGTATACGGTAAACCCCTCAAAACTGACACGCCTACAGTGAATCTAACTCGGCCTTCAGAAGCCAGAATTTTGATAGAAAGGGATATTACTTTACCTTTTTCGGAACAAAAAATGGATTGAAACGTCATATCAGGGTTTTTGGCAGCAAGCAGAAGTTGAACAGATACCACTTTATTGCACTCATTGTCTGTATTCACTGCCGTATGTTTGGACGTTCTCCTTCTCAATGTTATCAGTTGCATCCAAACTTAAAACCTTCAAGTAAAAACGCTTATGGATCTGCCCCACCTCATACCTGTCCCTCCTCTGCCCCTGAGTGCATTCCACAAACTATTGAAACACTGGTTGATCAATGCCAGCTCCGCCTCCCACTACCGGAGACAATACTCTCTCTGTTCTTTCGACTGATATATTGGCAGATGGTTTACTTGGGCCCGGCAATCAGGATAGTATTGAAACTCCACATCCCCAGGATGCTTCAGGTGTTGAAGAGACATGCTTACCATCTCTTCAGAATCAGAATGTTATTACTGCTAGTCAGGAGCTCGGGGCTCATTCTCTCCTACATGTCCAACAATCTGTTGACCACACTGATCAGATGAGCCAGTCGTCGGATGAGGAATGGCAGGTTTACACATCTAGAAACAAAAAGAAGAATGGAGGCACACCCCAGCTTGAGAACTTAATGGATGATACCCTAGTAACTTTGGGTAATGGAACATACTCAACAATTTGTTAGCTTTCTCTGGTCCTAGAACCAGAGGCAGAGGCAAGACCAAGCTGACTCGTGCCTAGCAGCTTATTTCCTATCAGTTTTGTTTTTCTTTTCCTTTTTTGTGTTTTATCTATGTTTCATCATTTTAGGATGCTAGTGTCTGATGTATCGTATGGGTAGGGCACCTTTTTTTGGGTCCTCTCATACAACCTCTATGTATCTTTTCAATTTCAATAAAATTAGCCCTTGGGC